AATATGAAGACGCATGGCATGATCTAAGGCACACGCTAGCTGATAACAATTTGCTCAAGCATGAAGCCCATACAGCCCCACGAGCACTCAAAAGCACTAAGGGTGGTTAGGACAGGCCAAATGATCAGAAACTTGAGCAGGTTGCATGGAACTTTGCAGATTATCAATTCGATCATTTTTCATAACATCAAAGAACCAGCTAGCGCAAACAACTATCAACTATTTTTCATCGGGCCCATCACTTGAACTTGGATCGCTTCCATCGTGTTCAGCCTTTGCCTTACTCTTCTTTGGCTTCTTGCATGCTGACACACGCCTCTTAGCGTCACGGACATCTTGCTCTACAACTGCTAGCTGAGACTTCTTATCTTCAACCCATGAATACATATCTTCAGGGTCGACATCACTCAGCGGAGTGTTGCTTTTTGTAACTGCATCATCGCGAAGCTTCTCAGAAGTGGCGAGATGTGTCGAAAGCGCCCGTTCCTGCAAGTGAGCGGTTGCATAGTACGTTTGGTTCTATGTATATATATATATAAAAATCGATCGATATGGCATGTTTCTTCAAAATGACCTTTTAGTCTTTTGGGAGTCCCTGAGCGTGACCTCAAATCAGGATTTAAAAGGTCACTTTGAATAACCAGGGATCGATATTGCTCAACCAAGATTCCAGTTCGCTGGAGTTCCTGATCCCATAGGTCTTGAAATCTTCCAAGCATTGGGGGATATCTTTCACGATTTTCTTCCACCTTGGATCGATCGTTGAACTTTAGGTTTACCGTGCGACGCGTTTTGAATTACAATATAGTTTACTGACAAAAGCAGTCAGGGAACTTACTAGCAAGGTTCTTCGCTTCCGTCAGCGCTAGCTGAGCTGGTGATTTCTCTTTCTTTGGTTTCTTGCTTTGAATGCGCCCTGTCTTGAGGTCCATCAACCCTTGTGCTTCCAAGCTTTGGAGGCCAATGTTCAGCTGCTTGGCTATCATTTCTTTCATGGACGCTGACCGGACTCTGCCGCCTACCATCAAGCTAGAGTCTCCCCTCATACCTGACGTGGTATTCTCAGCAACTTCCTTAAGCGCCTTGTACATTTTGGCCTCCTCAAGATTTGGACATCGCGGGTGTGGAACTCCAACTTGTCCTCGGGATGTCACACAGATATGTGATATGACAGCTATGGAAAAATGGCATTCGTGGTTGGAAGAGACAGCGGACAAGGGGCCTTTCAGGATTTCCTCTATGAACTTTTTGGCTGCTGAACTCTTTCCGTAGGTTTTGTAGAGTTGTAGTTTCGTGACCTTGGTCTTTGCGCTTCGGTGGTACTGGGTAACAGGTCTGTACAGCCAAGGTTGTACTGGGCAAGGGATACCGCTTTACAATCACATGTCACATGGATCGATGGCAATGCTAGGTCTGGTACGGTCACGTATCGGTCTGAACGAAGCTGCTCCGTCCACCTTGTGTACCGCTCTTCAACCGTGATGTCGTCCACTTTGCCGTCGCTCAGCAACCACTGCTTGAGCATACTCCATCTGATCAGCATTGGAGCGGGTTGGACGAGGAAAACGATCCCTATAAAACTTGAAATGTGTTTCACGCATATCGATGCATATCATATTTTGCGCGCCTCTCACTGTCAGAACATAGCTGGTATTTTGCGAGAAGTTGAGGGGAGCAGCTTTTGTGAACAGCACGGCCAAGGGCAGCATATTGTCGCTTGCGCTCACCCTTCTCCATACATGACGGGCTAGCCATGCTCGCGATCTTTTCTTTCTCTTCAAGGGTTAGGTTTGTAACCCTTGGTTTCCCGCCAGTACGTTTGGCTGCGGCCGATGAGGAGGCGATAGATTCCTGGGGGAGGGTTCTTCCAGGGGTGATCAACACCAAGGGTGAACAACCAGGACCTTCAAAGTGACCTCTGTGGAGTCTCTAAGTGACCTCTTTAGGGACCAAGTGACCTCATTCTAGGATCTCAAAAGGTCACTTTGAAGGTCCTGGAACGTTCAATCGCTCATACATGCATGGATCAGTCCTGATCACGTGTCGGACTGGCGTTTGGAGTCTGTGTCACCTCGAAGCTCTGCATCGTCCCAATCCGTTCCATCGGAGGCTCTGGTGAGAACAGCATCGTTGGCAAGCTGGAGAGGTCAGCCTGCAGATTTCCGGTTGGGTGGAGTGGGACTGGGTCTGTTGCATTAGATCAAAGCCCCAAGACCAAAACCCTGATCCAATGAATTATAATTCACCCTTGCCTCATCCGAGAGCCCTTCTATCTCCTCCTCATCATCTTCAAACCTCAATTTTTTCTTTTCAGGACTGCATCCTGTAGGACCTCCATTCTCACGTTTGCTGGTACCATTCTCCGCTGCAGCTTTGGAGACTTTGGTGCGCTTTCTCGCATCGCTACTGGATGCCATAGTTGAATCTGTTGAGCCAGCAGACTTTCGCTTTGCTTGTGCTTCTTCCACTACCTTTTCCTTTGGTGCAGCTGCTTCTGTAGTCTTTTCATCCTTCATGTCTCCTATGCTATCATTGCCTTCTGTCTTCTTAGCCTCCTCCTTCTTTGCCTCCTTCTCTGCCTTTGCGCTTTCTGCCTTTCTTCCTTTCTTGGCTTCCTTCTCCTTCTTCTTTGCATCAGACATGTCACCTTTGGCAACAGTCTTCTCACTCTTTGTCTCATCTTCCTTCAGTGTAGCTGCCTCTGCATGCTTTTCATCCTTCTTGTCTCCTTTGCTATCATTGCCTTCTGTCTTCTTGGCCTCCTCCTTTTCCTTCTCTGCCCTTGCACCTTCTGTCTTCCTTTCTTTCTTGTCTTTCTTCTCCTTCTTCTTTGCTTCGGAACTGTCAGCTTTGGCAGCA